GAAGGAAGGAAGGAAGGAAGGAAGGAAGGATGGAAGGCTGAGTCAACCTTGAGCCGGTGAGATTAGAACTGCTGAACTGCAGATAACAGTCAGCTGAAGTGGCCTGCAGTACTGCACCCTAACTACTGCGCCACCTCGGACAAGATTGGACAACTCTTTGTCTGAAATGGGTGTAGGGTTTCCTGCCTGGGCAGAGGGTTGGACTAGAAGACCTCTAGGGTACCTTCCAACTCTGTTATTCCGTTCTGTTCTCAACTTTTCACCTTTCCTATTTTGTTAATCTCAACTCCCTCCAACCTTGAGTTTCCCAGCCTTTCCTCTCGAGCCAGTCACTCTTCCTTCCTAAGGACATTTCAATTTGAATTTTCATCTCCTTTCATCTCAAGCTTTTTGCTTGAGTAACTAGGAATTTATCTCGTGGGATTTTGCTTCAAAGAATTGCCAACTGGGGGGGAACCAGAAAGCAACAGCAGTCTTCCGTTGTACTATTTAGGTGTATCCTGTTCTAGTTCTTTTTTTAATAGGCTCATCTCCTTGTTTGTGCTAAGTAAAATACAGAGAGTTCTTCGTTTATGACAGCAATTGAGCTGAAAATTTCTGTTGCTGACACTTGTTAAGTGAATTTTATCCCCATTTTTTTTGCCACCGTTGCTAAGTGAATTACTGCAGTTATTAAATTAGCGACACGGTTGTTAAACGAATCTGGCTTCCCCGTTGACTTGGCCTGTCAGAAGGTCGCAAAAGGGGATCGTGCGATCCCCATCGGCATTGACAACGCCACCATCAGTCAATTGCAAAATGCTCCCAACAATGGAAGTTTTGAAGAAGAGCTTGGACAATCATTGGTCTGAAGTGGTGTAGGGTTTCCTGCCTGACCAGGGGGTTGGACTAGAAGGCCTCCAAGGTCCCTTCCAACTCTGTTCTTCTACTCTACTCTACTCTACTCTACTCTACTCTACTCTACTCTACTCTACTCTACTCTACTCTACTCTACTCTACATTCTATTCTATTGCATTCTATTCTATTCTTCTCTTCTGTTCTGCTCTACATTCCATTCTCCTCTTCTCCTCTTCTCCTCCTCTCCTCTTCTCTGCTCTACATTCTGTTCTGTTCTGTTCTTATTATCTTCTCTTCTATTCTCCTCTACGAAATGTAAATGCCGCCCAATTCCTAGCAATTCTGGGCAGTCAGTATAACTAATCCACAATCCGACTGCTTCAGCTAAAACTCATCGCCGTATTTTAGATTTACTGTCCCAGCTCGCTGAAGAAATTAAGATGGGGCCCATCTTGACCTCACTCGTATTTTTATTCTGATCATTTTCCCTGAGTTGCTCCTCACACAGGCAGTAGCTATTCTCAATAGTCTTATTAAGCTCGCGCAGCGGGGCCACGAAGCTGCTTAACCTTCGGACATCCTGATGTCTTGATTGCAAAACCATCTGTGAATGGGTGTCGTTCGCTAAAAGAACTCGACTTAAGCAGCGTCCCCATTTCCTCTCCCAAGAAAATGACCTCATCCGTCCGGACGTTTTCAATTAAAACCTTCAGCTTTCGTCCAGATTCCTATTTTTACAGCCGTAATTTCTGGTGAAACAACCATTGTGTGAAGGGATGTATGTTCTCGGCAAAAAACATTCCATCCCAAATAAACTGTAGGGCCATCCCACAGCATCCGAGCTCACAGCTGCACTGGGGAAAAAAATCTAAGTTGTGGTTGTGAAGGAAGGAAAACAGCCAGGGGAACCATAACAAAAGATGGAGTTGTGGGGCCAAGTAAAGCTGGACAGCTGAAGTTTGACAAAAATCTATCTGGGATTGTAATAATTCCACCAGACAGGAGAATGTTTCCCCCTGCTTCCTTGGATGAGGATCAGTGGTGGGATTCAAATAATTTAACAACCGGTTCTCCATCCTAATGACCAGCTGGGTAGTCGGGACTCAGTGGTGATGTGACCACGTGGGCGTGGCCGGTTCCACCATAAAACCGCGGTTGACTAAAGCGCGCTCGACGAAACCGCGTACCTGACGTCATCACAGCACGACGAAAAAAGCACGCTGTGAGCGGTAAAGCTAAAATTAA